AAATGGGCTGGTGCACGGTTAGTTACTAATAACACATGTATTTACTTTTAAACCACTGTTTAAAATGTCTTAGTGTTCAGCCACTACTTTAATAAACTTTAACTGCCCGGACGAAAATACCCTTCTGCTCATGTCTTTAACTTTTGAACTTAACTTCAGGACTATATGTCCTTAACTTTTGAACTAGTAACTCTAAGTTCAGGACTTCAGGACTACATGTCCTTAACTTTTGAACTTGGAACTCTAAGTTGAGGACTTCAGGACTACATGTCCTTAACTTTTGAACTTAACTTCAGGACTACATGTCCTTAACTTTTGAACTTGTAACTGTAAGTTCAGGAACAAGTGTCCTTAACTTTTGAGCTTATTAGTCTAAGTTCAGGACCTATTGTCCTTAACTTTAGGGCTTCTTAGCCTAAGTTCAGGACCTATTGTCCTTAACTTTTGAGTTTGTTAGTCTAAGTTCAGGACTTCAGGACCTATTGTCCTTAACTTTTGAACTCGTAAATGTAAGTTCAGGACCTATTGTCCTTAACTTTTGGGCTTCTTAGCCTAAATTTAGGACCTATTGTCTTTAACTTTTGAGCTTGTTAGTCTAAGTTCAGGACTTCAGGACCTATTGTCCTTAACTTATGAACTTGTAACTGTAAGTTCAGGACCTATTGTCCTTAACTTTTAAGCTTGTTACTCTAAGTTCAGGACCAAGTGTCCTTAACTTTTGAACTTGTAATTCTAAGTTCAGGACCAAGTGTCATTAATTTTTGAACTTGGAACTCGAAGTTCAGGACCAAGTGTCCTTAACTTTTGAACTTGTAACTGTAAGTTCAGGATCCGTAACGTAGCAGAAAACCAAACGTTATTTGTATCTTTTCACAAAATAATAATAATAATAATAAATTTGTGTAATGAAATTAAAATTATATTGTATTTACACTGTGAAATAACCAGAAGGGCCTTGTACTAATGAAGACAGGACAGGATAAACACTTGATTACTCGTGTTCTTCTGCAGCATCTATATATCTTCCTTGTCAATATTCCTTCCATAATCCAGAGTTTTGTCTTATATCTTGACCTCTCTTATATTTTCGAACAGTTTGAACTTCTCCTCTATCTAAACAATAAATAGATTACAAATTAAAGTATGCAATTAGACAAAAAACCAAAGCGCTAAAGCTATCTGAAAAGCAGCAGCATATATGAATTATGATCGCCGGTATAAACACTGTATTTCCGTTTGGGAAGGAAAAGAGATAGAAGAAAGGGTAACACCATCTTTTCATATTAATTTTAATAGACTAGTGGCTACTTTTGCTCAACATTAAAAATGCTGGATAAAATGTAAATACCACTTTAAAAAGTGGCTACCCCACATAATTTTTACGAAGTTGGGCGTGTCAAGATGGGCTGAGTAAGTGAATGGGCTAAAGCCTAACCATGCCCAAAGTTCATTCGGGTCAAGATGGCCTAAACAAGTAAAAATTGCACGGTGCGTCCTATTTGGTCGCCCCCATTTAACCTATACTCACTTTTTAAAAAAGTTTTAATCTGTACCCACTTTTTAAACAACTTCAGACATCTTCCTCCTCCTCCTCCTCCTTCATTTTCTTCTTCCTTCTTCTTCATTCTTCTTCTTCTTCTTCTTCTTCTTCTTCTTCTTCTTCTTCTTTTTCTTCTTTTTCTTCTTCTTCGGGTGACAATGATTTTATATGGTGGTTGTAAATATATTTTAATGTAGTTTATGATATTTTACAATGGTGAGCTGTTATAACGTTTTATTTTTTACTATTGCTTAGGGTTTCTTCTTCTTATTTTTCTTAATTGCAAAATGGGTTCATTAGATTTTTTGTTGTTTTGACAAATTGATGATTGGGGTTTGTTCCTGATGATATTTGGAGGCTATGTTTCAAATTTGAGCTTATTTGGAGTAGATTTAGGTATTAAATCGTATATTGCATTGTTATAATTCGAAGAACAAATTTTTGTTTCTGGGCAATTTTCACTTCAGACTTATTGGCCTTAAGTGAATGGAAACGTTTGTTGCACTTCAGACTTTTTGACTTTAAGTGCATCTGA